ATGAATAAAAATACAACTGGTTGGGTTGTCTGACTTAACAAATCACACACAATCAACTAGAATATTTTACATTTGGTACTCTTGACAACTTCTGTAACTGTCCCATAGCTGTGCGCCCAGCAGATCTCTGAAATGGTGCAAGTTGAGGCAGAAAGCCTGTCTTCACATCTCTTCAACTAGTGAGACAGATATTTAACCCGAGAACTACACACATTAATGGCGAACGTGAGTTTCCCCATTGATACAGAGTTCTCTCCAGTAGATCACCATCAACTTTTTTGAAGATTGTCAGACAACCTAAGGCCTGTTAAAGGCAGCGTTGTGTAGAAAGCAAGGTGTGCCACTGTGTCCATCCCTTTAGTTTTGGGACGTGACGGAACGCTTTTTCCTCAGCTGCCGGATAAAAGCTGCCATGTGACCCCCTTCAAGACGGGTCATTTCTGATTTCAAAAATATATTATAGGGAAATATATGCTATTGCATGTGTGAGGCTGTTGGGTTAAACATCCGCTCAACCAATAAATAAACTGGAAATATAAGGGTCAAACTTGATGCTACTACAAATGAACGTGGAGAGTGAGGCTTGTTTGGTTGGAATATCAGAAAGGGTTAGATGGTAACATCAGGACATGTACAGATATATTTAAGTTTTAAAATATTAGAAAATAAACTTGTTCATTTGTATTTACATTGTAGTGTGTACATTCACATTTCAGTTGGAATCTCATTAAATTGTAGGTGTATTGGTCTTATCTGGATGCATATACACCTATATTTTTAAGAGAGAACATTTTGATCAACCTTTCATGCGTTCCTTCTCCCAGAAGTGGGAGTGGCTACGAACATGACGGGGCAGGAGTGGCCGTGGCTCTCAGTTTTATGTGGGAGCTGCTTCTGCATCTTCCTCCTGTACCTGGTTGCCTTTACACAGGGACTTGATCTTCGTCATGACGCTAGAAAGGGTCTCCTTTACACTCTTTTCCAGCAGCCACCCCTCGCTTTCGCTCTCAGGATTCTCTGGGTCTGCCAGGGTTTCCAGTGAAGTAGTGAGGTACTGCAGACCGACAGTCACCACAGCCTGCGACAAAGGTTCAGGTTAATAAAATATCCAGTTTGGCATCAAGATTCTAGGACTAGAAGCCTGCGGTTCAAGCTAAGGTTAACCCTCTTGAACAATTTTTTTTGGTGTCATATTACACAATCACAAAAAATTGAAGAATGAACAGTTGTGTAGTCTTTAAGAACATAATCAGACCAAAACGAAGTTCGTTTGGAGTTTTTGGGAGTTGAAAAAGCTTGCCAAAGCGAACATTTCGGAAAAATTTGCTCGGACTGGTAAACGCCTTCGAACAACCAATGGTCTGTGACGATTATGTAAAGTGACTCTGTTTTTTTTTATCTTTATGTTTAGTACTTTAATGCTGTGTGTTTTTAAGTAATCTATTGTTTGAAGTGCTATACTGTAAATAAGTGATGTGACTTGACTGGAGAGCTTAATTTCAGAGCTTGTGCAAACATGTCTACACCGCGATTGACAGATGCTTTCTTATCGCTGTCATTTTTGTGTTTATTTTGTTTATTGAAAGGAAAGCACACATCACATATTTACATATTCATCTAAACCATTGTTCCCAGCAATGTGTGTGGGGTCGGGATGTTCTCTTAACAGTAAATCGCTGGTCATGTATTTCATATTTCTTTTAACCACTAGGCGAAGAACTTGTGTACTAATAGTATCCCAGACAGCAAACTGACATTGAATCAACGTGGAAACGACGTCTCTCATGACATTGAAACAACGTTGATTTTGCTCATCGAATTAACGTTGAACCAACGTCAGACGCGGCATTCTTCAAAGCTAAATGAAAATTGAAAATTGGTTTGCTTTCATAACGTTGAAACAGCGCGTTGATTTTCCGTTAGTTTTGAAAGAATGACGCGTCTGACGTTGGTTCAACGTTAATTCGATGAGCAAAACAATGTCAGATCAACGTTGTTTCGATGTCATATTTCCACGTTGATTCAATGTCAGTCTGCTATCTGGGATATCGGGTTCTTAACAGTTCATATTGAAGATTTGCTATTCCCATCTACTAAATTGTGTATGCATTACTGTATAGTATTTTGTAATAGTAATCAGTCCCTCCATAAAAACACGATTAGGCGATCAAATTTTTCAAATACGTCGCACTTTCGCGGCACATAAATTGCCGATTTCCGCGCAAAATATGCGAGGCTTGCATGATTTCATAATCCTCGCATTTTCGTTGCAAAAAAGTCACTTATATCTGAGCAGAAAGTTGACAAATGTTGCGTTTGCTTCACACAAGAGCCGCCGTTTTTCCCTGTTGCCATGGGAACGTTATGAAGTGACGTAATTACGCGACGTGAACATCATCGAAAAGCTGTAAAACAGGAGCACACTTTATTTTTTTTATGTTTTATTTATTCATTTTTACAGAAGTTGTAGCATGTTCCTTTTGTAAAGCTACAGAACTTGCTTGACTCATCAGTGTAGGATTAATGTGTTTATTAAGGTCTGAAATAAAACAAGATGAGAACTGAAATATTCCAGCACTTTCTGTGATGTATATGCTTGCTAATCATAGGAAGTAATAAGAAATGACTCTTTACGTTAAGGTAGGAGCCTAGTGAGAACTTCTCTTTTTCACCAAACAGCAGTTTTTGCAAGTTCCTGCAATTTCATCATATAAAATTGCATAAATATCCTGCGTATTCCATCGCATTAAAAACAACAACAAAAAAAAAACAGGCCACATAGTCAAGGATTTTTGCCCACAACAATCACAAAAAAACTGTTTTTCTGGAAGGAATGAGTAATGTAGACAAGTTCTGTGAGGAAAATATAAATGTGTGAAAAGTTCATGTTATTTGTCAACTTCCCACATGTTAAATGTTTACCATTTACACCTTTTCATGTCATCAACACCAAGTGTTAATTTAATCAATTAAGCTGTTAATTAATCTGATTCTTTCAGAACTATTTATATTACTCTTTACGCACCAACTGACCTTATAATCTAGCCGCTCTCTTTAGAATCCAGCAACACACTCTTTACCCTCCAAGAGTGTAATCTAGAGACTAAGTCAAAGGCCACAAGTTAGCTGAGTTCAACTTAAGAATGCAGTTTGTCCCCCATACCCACCTGCAAAACAATGAACAGCAGCACAAAAGCACCAATGCTGTTCATCATGCCTCCATAGTAGGACACCAGGGCTTCACGGCAACCTCTGGTCCAGATGTTTAGGTCCTCAGTGTGGTGGTCGTAGCTGTAGTGAGCGGAGTTGTTGGTCAGGTGATGCTGGATGCAGGGGCGAGGGGAGCCAGGGTTGCAGCAGCTGAAGGGAACGCTTTCCATCAAGTATTTGCCTTCCACGTTGCTCTGGATACGGCTAAGAAATCCCCCCAAAAAAGATTGAGAACTCTGTCATCAATTGGTTTATATTCTTGGATGTGGAATTTAAGATTTCAGGAGTGACGGGCTTAGAAACACATCTCAACAAAGTTGTATCTTTACATTAACTTTGAGATTACTGGACAAAGATGAGAACTTCAATCTGATGATGAAAACAACACCACTTTTTAATTAGATTTGTGAACCTCCTTGGGATCAGTTATCACCTAAACGGTGATAGCCCCTTGGGAGGCCAACATTGGGGGCAGACTCCATGTTATTATTGGTGTGGACGGTGAGTAAGCTTTAAAGGACTTTGGAATAGGATCCTTCCTGATAGATTATCCAATCCATGGATCCATCTGCCCCCTTTACTCATTTCCTTTTTATAAAACCCACCAGCCAATTATCTACTTAACTACTCAAAACATTCCCCTTAAATTTGATTCCTCTTGCATTCAACATTACAGGTTTCAGTCTTTAAGAGGTCTCCGTTAGAACTTTTGTGTTATCTTTTATCTGTACTTTTTTGCAAACTACAGTGCCTTCTGGGTTGCGCTTCCTGAAGAGGAGAATAATATATACATCAGCTGATCTCTATCCACTTAGCTGCCTTAAACAAGATACAACTTCCCCAAATCCCACTGAACATCAGCCTTGATAACTTTATCCTAATACTTGGACATGTTTAAAGCCTGTACCTTTTAAATTTGGCCACATATATAGTACTTGACATACATCTCGTTATCATAATAAAAGAAGTTGCATACAAATGATCCAGAATCTCTTCCACTTAGGTCCCTCACCACCTCTTATCTACGTTTTTAACTGAAAAAAAAATATCAGTACTCACTCTTTAACTTCCTCATTGCTGAAGTCCAGGTAGCGATTGCTAATCCACTGGATCTCGAACCAATCCTTGTAGTTGTTGTTGCCGCAGCAACGGAACTCAATTTGGGTCATATCCAGTGTTCTCTTCATAAAGCATCGTCCCGGCGTGTCTGTGTCTTTGTAGTACTTCATTCCATTCTTCAGGCCTTCAGCCAGGGCGAAGTGCAGAGAGATCTGCATCAAGAAACACAGCAGAGCCGTGACAAAGAGGGCGATGCAGAAGACCACACATCCACACATGTACATCTTCAATAGAGCTTTCCACTTGGTGAACTTGACTGTGTCAAGGGAGTCATGGCACACTTTGCCCCCAAAAGCATTGACACCACAGGCCACAAGTCCCACCAGAATGAGCAGGTTGGGCACGAAATGACTCTCATTGTTATCCATAATCTCGCTTCTCTTGCGCAGCTCGATCTTGAAGAATATCCCCATGCTGAAGATGAGGATTCCAGCCATGACAGAGAGCCAGTACAGGAGCCACAGTCCTTGGGCAAGCTTGACCCGTTTGGCCAAGTCAAATTTCATAGGCATCAAAGCCATTTTGTTTTTGGTGTCTAATGAGTCACAAGGATATATTCACAGGGATTCTTCTTCAGTACGATTGCCTGTTATTGTAAGATTTGACGGGTTTTTCTTATCCTTTGTCGAAATTCTTGAAGACCTTGAACAGAAACGTTGTAGTCCAGAAGCTTAGTTTAGTAATCCGTCATCAAGGATGGCTGCAGAACGGATTCCCCTTTTCATACCCATTCTGACCATCCACAATTTAAGAGAGTCCATAATGTTGACAACCAGAGGCCTCTTCCTCTGGAATTTCTCATAAATCCACCCAAATGGACCTGCTGGGGGGCAACGTGGCTTTTGCTAACGGCTCCCTTCCCTGCAAAAGGGGGTGGCCGGCTGAGGAGCTGTATGATTGTAGAATCCAGTTCCTCTACGTCATCCTAAAGCCCACTAATCAGCTCTTATCCCATTTGCAGATGAGCCGAGGACTAATCCTTTATCTTACTCTGTAATTGGTTAGTTACTTTAGCATCAGTTTCCTTTTTTACCTGCTGGTATTGCTGGCAATGGCGTATGTAAGCAATAAGGTACGAGAGGCTGTTCTGTATTATGAATAAGTAAGCCCTTAATAAGACCCCTTCAGCCGTTACTTATTCACGAGACAGCACTTGCCTCGAGTACCTTATTGCTTTTATGAAACGGTTGCCACACAATGCAAATATAAAGTAATAAAAAAAATGTATCAGTGCAACTTTCAATTAGTAAAATCACTAAAAGCCTTCCTTCCGCTAGAAAAAGATAGTCCCTGACCGTGAACAGCCAATGTTTAATATGCTTG